CCGCCCCCAATTCCTAGAACAACCACCAAAGACAGAGACTGGTCATGAATCAGGTCCGAGGCAGGATGGCTCACTGAAAAATTACTGTGTATGTGTGTGTGTTTTCCCTTTTTCTTTCTCCCGTTTTTTAAGCGGTGGTCACTGGGACAGGGCAGAAAAGCAGAGGCAGCTCAGGTCAGCGGGTTGGCAGCGCCTCATGACTTTTGTTAACGGGGAGCTCTGGATGGGGAGGGGGAGGGCCTGAGAGAGGGAGAGAAGAGACTCATCTGGACCAGGAAGGGGCGCCTCCATGTTACTTTAGACCCTGAAATGGTATAGGCCTAGGGTGAGATGAGAGTGCATTTGCTAGCCTTGGGGGTTTGAAATCAGGATGGTCAAACAAACTTAAAAAATTAAAAACATGCTGTTTCTTGCACCCCTGAGTTTGCAATTAAAAAAATTTTTTTTGTCATCAAGAACATATACATAAAATTTATCATTTTAAATCATTTTTAAGAGTACAGTATGTGTTAACTACATGTACAATGTTATGCGACACGTCTCTAGAGCTTTTTCATCTTGCAAAATTTGAAACTCCTTATTCATTGAGTGACTACCCTCTCCTCCCTCCCCCAGCCCTCCTACAACCACCTTCTACTTTCTGCTTTGAAGAGTTTGCCTATTTTAGATTCCTCAGATACGTGGAATCATGCTACATTTGTCCTTTTTGTACCTGGCTTATTTCACTTAACATAATATCCTCAAAGTTCATCCATGTTGTTGAAGTGACAATTTCCTTTTTTTTAAGGCTGACTAATATTCCATTGTGTAGATACCCCATATATTCTTCATCTATTCATTTCATCTGACGATGGACACTGGGTTGCTTCCACCTCTTGGCTATTGTGAGTAATGCTGCTGGGAACGTGAGGGTGTGGTATCGTTTATAATTAGTTTTGGATTTTTTCTAATAAATACTCAGGAGTGGGATTGCTGGATCATATGGTAATTCTATGTTTAATTTTTTGAGGAAACTTCATACTGTTTTCCATAGTGGCTGCACCAGTTTACATTCCCACCAATAGTGCACAAGGGTTCCAATTTCTCTACATCCTCACCAACATCTGTTAGTTTCTGTTTTTCTATTTTTGATAGTGGCCATCCTAATGGGTATGAGGTGACATCTTATTGGGGTCTTAATTTGCATTTCCCTAATAGCTAGTGAAGTTGAACATCTTTTCATATATCTGCGGGCCATTTGTATATCTTCTTTGGAAAAATGTCTATTCAGGTCCTCTGCCCATTTCTTAATTGGATTTTTTTTATTGTTGAGTTATAGCAGTTCTTTATATATTCTGGATAGTAATCCCTTATCAAGTATATGGTTTGCAAATATTTTCTCCCATTCTGTAGGTTATGTTTTCATTCTGTTGTTTCCTTTGCTGTGCAGAAGTTTTTAAGTTTAATGTAACCCACTTTTTCTATTGTATTTTTGTTTTTGTTGCCTTTTTAATATTTGAGTTAAATTTTTGTTTATGGTATAAGGTAAGGGCCCAGTTTTATTCTTTTGCATGTGGTTATCCAGTTTTCCCAACACCATTTGTTGAAGAGACTATCTTTTCTTCATTGTATAGCCTTGGAACCTTGTCAAAGATAATTTTACCATATAAGTGATGCACCCCAGAGTTTTGAGAGCAGAAATTCAGCAAGTTACATAGCACTTGATTTTCTCTGATACCAGACACAGATCTTGAGCTCCATTCTGGAATCTCCCAGGGTCATGCTGACTTGGTAAGGACAAGATTCTGGAACCCCATAACAGACAGTAGCTCCTCACACTGGAGAGGGATTTGCAGCTTATGAAGTGCTTCCAGGTCCACGATTTCAGCTGAGGCCTGCAACACCCACATAGCCAACTGCCAACCTGACATTTCCATGTGGATGTGTCACTAAAATTTCAGACCTGTCATGGCTAAAACATATGACCTGATCTCCTCCTAGTTCCTGTGTGGGCCTGACGGTGTCTGGAAACCATCAGGCTGGCACAGTATTAGGCCTTTTCTCTTCTCTGGGCACATGTTTTAGGGTGAGTGAGGATGTGGGAACAGGAACCCCACTGACATAGGTGGCATCATGCTCCTCTGGCTGTAGGAGGGAAAAGCCCCAGTGAGCTGGTCCCTGTCATCTGGGTTCTCGCCAGGCCATAGAAGCTATGCTCGGTTCAGCAAGGCCGCTTGCCCTGGGCCTCAGGCTGAGGTGTGGGACACGGCAGGAAGGGCGCCCATGAGTGACAGTAAGCCAGGCTCTTCCGGATCCGAAAGCTAAAGCAGCACCATGGTTTTCTGATGGTCATTACTGGGTATGACTGTAAAGTTTTCCGTTTGAGTAACTGAAGCCAGATGAAGACTTCGCCTTCACTGAGGAGGCTGAACTAATGGATTTGTCTGGGTGGTTCTCTTGGGTGGCACGCTTAGGCAGAAGGCCTGATGAGGACAGATGGTAGCACTATGGGCAGCTTCCCAGGCAGGGTGGGGGGGTTCCACCTCCCAGGACCTTTGGGGGACTTAGAGTGGGATGGGACCCAGTATTACTGAGCACCCAGGGCCTGTGGGACTCCAAGCCAGGCAGGCCAGATGGAACTCCCAATGAAGGGCTTAAGTGGAGAAACAGAAGGAGGCTGCTGCTCATGAACCCTCTCCAAAGCCAATCTAAATCAAATTCTGGAGGCTTCTGTATGAACAACACACAAATTGACAACTGGTCAACCCTTCAATCTGAGATTCATACTGTCTCCAGGACAATTCCATTGGGAGGCAATGTGTCCAAACTCAAACTCACATCCCAATTGCTCACGTGCTCCCCTACATGGTTCCCCTGTCATCTTAGCACAGGTATTACCAGTACCCACATGGCCAAGTCAGAAACTACCTGGGGTCGTCCTGTGGCATCCTCACCACCCACCTCACCAACTGAGATCCCTTTCTCTTCTGCATCAGGCAAACACTCCCTACATGCCCAGTCTCTTCCTCTTCTATTTTCCCATTCTGCCACATCTGATTTCTCCTCTTCCTAACAGAAGGTAGCTCACTGAAGTTGTAGTCTGCATGTCATGCAGCTCTGTGTCCCCAACTACCTGTGTGGGGCAGGACCTGATGACGTTTGTTGAGGTAAGGAAAGAGGGAGGGAGGGAGGGAATGGATGGGTAAGGAGGCCCTCTTCACCATTTCCTGGCATTCCCTTTAAAAGACTGTCAAATCTAACAAGATCCAGGGCTTAGAAAAAATGGAGGACTACCTGGTTTGTTTGATAGGCACAGGCCATTGAGACAAGGGGCACTTTCTCCCCTTCTTTCTCCCAGTGGCAAGAAGACAGAGACAGCAAGGCCTGCCATGCTTAGAGAAAATGGGGCCCCTGGGAGGGGGAAGTGCCCGAGCTGAGCTCCATGCTGACTGCTGGGCTCCTGTCTGCTGCTTTTGCAGAGCAGCTGGGCATACATGAGGCCTGGCTTGTGGAACCTGCAGAAGGGGAAATCAGGAAGGTGTTCTTTCACAGGCTTCTAGACCAGGGGTTGGCAAACTGCGGCTCGCGAGCCACATGCAGTTCTTTGGGTACATTCCATCTCAAAAGTTTTCCAACCCCTGGAAGAGCCAATCCTGTCCCTCACAACAATTTAAAAATTATTCAAGAGCCATAAATATTGGGTTGTCGGAAAAGTCATGACATATTTTTTCTGTTTTTTGTTGCAAAAATGCGTAATGACTTTTCTGACAACCCAATATATTTTTACATAATTTACATAAGCCACCATTATGTGAATAATATCCTGTAAAAATTTTATAAATGAAGCTATGATAGTTTTATTTTCATTTTCAATTTTACTTCAGAGCCACAGTTTGCGAGCTGCAGTTTGCTGATC